ACGAATCACATCACTGGTAAATGAACCAAACAGACTTCTCTCCACCTCAACATGTCTTTGTTGTTTTCAATTCACTGGCATATATGTAGCAACTATCAATAAGCACCTAAAGTGTTGAAAAGTATTTAATTTTAAAAATTTGACTGAGGAAAGTGATATAATGACATTCTTGAAGATCTTATGGACTCTTTAAACGTTAAGGATTAAGGGCATCAGAATTTTAAGAAAGATACCTTCTTTGGTAAAGAAGATATATGTTTTGAGAGGTGCTTTGTGGAGTAAATGGCATTGAAATTGGCTTGGAAGGGTTTGGACATATGACATAGTAAAGGGAAGAGTTGCCCTATTGTGAGGAAAGGCATTAAATATAAGAAGATTGATACTTATCTTTCTCTGACTGGCTTATTTTTCTTGGCATAATGCTCTCCAGGTCAATCCATGCTGTTGCAAATGGTAAAAGTTCTTTCTTTTTTATAGCAGTGTAAATGTACCATAGGTTTTTAATCCATTCATTTGTTGATGGTCACTTAGGCTGTTTCCAAATCTTAGCATCACATGATCTCACTCATTTGTTGAATATCATGAACAACATAAACTAATGAACAAAATAGATCCAGAGACAGAGAATCATGGAACAGACTATCAACCCTCAGAGGGAAGGCAGGAGCGGGCAGGATAAGAAATCAACCAAAGAACTTGTGTGCATATAAGCATAATCAATAGACACAGACAGTGGGGGAGAGGGGTGTGAGGGCCTGGCTGGGGGCAGGCTGGCAGAGGACAATGGGGGGAAAAGAGGACATATGTAATACTTTCAACAATAAAGAATTTAAAGACTCCAAGGTGATTGACTTCCCTGTGGGTAAGTCAATCATGCATATATGAAGATTGAGTCAACAATGACATACCACTGCACATCTATTTAAAAGGCTAAAAAATTTTAAATGGTAATACGAAATGCTGACAAGGATGTGGAACCATAGGAACTCTCATTCATTGCTGGTGGGAATGCAAATGATAGGGCCACTGGGACAGTTTTTCATTTTCTTGTACAGCTCAAGTCAAAATTCCAGGTACTAGATGTTAAAAGAAGCTTTATTCAAAGTCACCAATATGAAAGCAACCAAGATGTCCTTTAATAGGTGAATGGGTAAATAAACTGTGGCACATTCATACAATGAAATATTATTTAACAATAAAAAGAGATGAGCTATTAAGCCACAAAAAGATAATGAGAAATCTTAAGCGCATAATGTTGAGTACAATAAGCCATATGAAAAGGCTGTATACTGTATTATTCAAATGATATAATATTCTGAAAAAGATAAAACTATAGAGACAGTGAAAGGGAACAGTGGAATAGGTGAAACACAGGAGATATTTTAAGGCAATGTAAATATTCTGTATGGAACTGTAATTATAGAAACATGATATTCATTTGTCAAAACCCAAAAAAATTTAAAACATAAAAGAGCGAACATAATCTGTGTAGATATTTTTAAAAATTGTTTAGGAGGCTGAGTGATTCCAGGAAGGAATGAAAACTTTGACAAGAGAATCTAACTGTATCATAGATGTATAAAACCACCTCACCAAAGAGGGTGTGCAAAAAGGTACTGGCCTACGAAACTTAAAAATTAGTAGGGTCTGCCAGTCTAAAGACAAAAGGAGCCATCATAATGACTATCCTCTAATTGATAGAGTTGTTTCTCACAGGTCAGTAAGTTAACAATTCTGATATTGTTATACATGTAAACTGAAACCGAATAATTAAATAAATGGATGGTGGATGGTGGGCATCCAGGTTTTTCCTTGTAGGAGTAGGAGTTTATAGATAAGCAAGGGAAGAAGTGAGAAAGACCCATGTGGTGATGGATTAGAGTTGAAGACATCAGTCTGAACTTATAAATATTTGTTAATATTGATACATATGGGTATATGTAGAAATATTTGTAAATCTATGTACACTAATCACAATTTAGTAAATATATACAGATTTCCTTGCTCTATCACCTGAGAGGAAAGAACAGTTTCTTGAGGAGAAAAAAAGGGGAGGAGGAGAAGGTGGAGGTTGGCTTGAAGAACAGTGAGGATAGCAGATGTAGGCATTTCCAAGCCTTATTCTTCCCTTGAAGCCAACCTCTGCACTCCGAGCCCAGCTCAGCCAGAAGTGACTCTCTGCATGTTCCTTCAAACTGTGCCTACAGGAAGTGGGTGCCATCTCTAAGGCTAAGTGGAAGCAGCATGGAAAAACCTTGTTTGCATAGTGTCAGCAGATACAATGCCCAGCACTTAGGGGTTCCCAATTGCTGAAAAATGCAGCTGAGAAAACGCATGATCCGTTTCCTGTAAGTGTGATTCGTGAGGGTTATTTGGGGCAATCAACAAGTTATTCTGCAAGACTTGTTCTCAGGCACAACTCCAATTTTGTTTAATGAGAGTTTTACTGAAGGCCCTTAGAACATGATCTTTTATTATGTAGATAATCAGCAGAACCTGCTCATCCCTTAATGCGAGCAACTGAGATGGAGGGCTGTAACAGCTGAGATAAAATCATAGCTTTACTATGAAGCCCATTAGCTGGGTAGAAACTGCATCCTGAGGTCATAAGTAGTTATTAGCTAGTTAATGACAACTGCAGTCTAATCATTACATTTACATCTGATGAATAGGGATGAGGCCTTCTTTGCCTTTTCAGCACTCAAACTATGTACTACACTGTTTTAATACCCTGGGTGGTACAATTTGCAAAATTGAAAAGACCCATCATTCCCCATACCTCGAAGAAACATAGTAAATAAAAATAAATGAAAAAATTAGGCGGGTTTTCTCAGACTATTCAGCCTTACATTAATATCTGTCATCTGTGTATTCCTAAAGTGCTTCAATCTCATTGGAGATGGGATTGAAACTAGAACCAATGTGCTAGATATGCAATCATGTGACCCTGAGTGAGTCATTTAGCATTTCCAAGATTCAGTGTCCTCACCTGTTACATGAGATTGCCCAGCTCTTTCTTACAGATCTTCCATGCTATGGCACCAAGACTGTATATTCTGAATGACAATAACAAATTAACACTTAGCCTTGGTATGTTCTCTCTTGGGCTACTTTTTAAAACAAATATTTCCTGCATTAACCTATTTTCCTAAATAGTCCCTGAAATTGAGAAATGTAAAATACTTGTTAAATTCAGCAATAACCCTTTTTCTCCCATTGTAGACACAAATTAATCCACAATATAGTTGTTGGTGGATTAAACCCCAAAGATATGTATTTTGAGCCTGTTTTCCAGTTTGTTTAACTAAGGGCTTCTGCTTTAATTGGAGCTATTTGGACTAGGACATAATATTTGCTCGGGCAGGCTTCCTGATCAGTATAGAAAACAAAATGTGATCCACAAATATTGAAAGGTACGCGTGTTCAGAAGTCTTAGGTTTAGAAAGAAATTAGGTCTGAAAACATTAGCATCAGGAATGGAAAGTTAAGCATTGTAGTAATAGTGAACTTGCAAATTCTGAGAAAGCCCATGTGTGAGTTAAGCTAATTTCCCTGAGGTTCAGGAAGGTTTTGTTGTACAGGTAAAGAGAGCTAAGCATCAGAGTGTAAGACTGCTTGTTAGCTTGGAGACAGGCAAACTTAGACACACAGCAAGCTCTCTGAGCTCCTCTGACCTGTCAGTATCCATCTCCCAGGGCGGGTGCCTGTGAGGATAATGCAGGAAAAGCATCGTGCAGAGCCCCTGGCACGTAGTACTTCACCAAGTACTAGCTGCTGCGTGAGCGACGGTGGTGGGTGTCAGCATTGTGCAGAAAAATGCCAACACCACCAGGTTTGGGATCATAAAATCCCTGCTGCGAGTCTTGTCAATTAATGCATGGAATGGGATTAGCGACTACGTTTGTGAACACATTTTTTTAACTGAAAAAATGGATTTCAGGAGCATATTCATTTTTGTGGTACTTCATTGGTCAGTCTAGAACCTGAAATGAATAAGAATGAGTGTGCTTTGTAAATTGTAAAGCACTCTGAAATTGTTCTTGCTTTGTCCTCAAGCATGCACCCAGGGCCTTGGCTTCTCTGTGAGCGGTTCCTACGCCCCCTTCGTGGAAGGCTGCCACTGCCCAGGGCCCCCAGAGCTTCACCTAAAATGACTGATTAAAAGTGGCCAGTGATATGCTTGGTGAACCACATGCAGTATTGTATTTGGAAGGCATAGAAATCTAATCATATTTTCTGACTCGTGAGACTGAACAGCACCAAATACGATTTTTCTGAGCATCTCTCTGGAGCGGCTGATGGGCCAGTGTTGAGATGGTGTCAGCCTGGTGGCAAGAGCCGGTGGGGGTGGTCAGGTGGAGCAGAGGAGAGAGCAGTCGATGGGAAACCCAGGAGCCGTGGTTCATGGTGGCCAGCTGACTGCCTTTACAGCTTCCTGGGCTGTGTGATGGTCACCTCTGAAAAGGGACTCTTTCTGGAGGAATGGTCAGCAGCTGGCCGTGCTAGTGAGACAGAATGGTATTTAAATCCTTTTATGCAGTAAGGATGCGGGAGATAAAATGTAATATACATTTCAGAGGGTAATCTAATTCATTTCAAAACCAGTGCCTCTTGCCACCTTAGTAAATGGAGAGCCCATTATCTGCTCCAAGGGGAAGGAAGGGGGTCGGCAGATGTAAATTGCTTTGTCAGGTGTGCGATTTGCAGGATCTGCTGCTACAGAGTGATAGCAGCTTTCTTTCCATATTAGTTTATGTGTGGAAATAAACTTCCGAAGCTTGGCCTGAACCCCATGGGTACTTTCAAATCAGTGGCAGCTACCCAACTTAAATTTATATCATAAGAAAGAGTACCTTCCTAAGCTCAATGCCTTTTGTTTCTAAACTTTCCATTTTTTTAAGAATAGGAGTTGCCTTCAAAGGCGGTTGTGTATTGTGGGTTGGAATAATGAGATAGCTCATTGTACAACCAACCCACTTACAAGAGCGAACGTGCCATTCTGAGTTTTGGTACATTCCTTTTTATTCAGTCATGTCACAGAGAGGCCACAAGTTCTGCTGAGGTATTCAGGAGCCACTGTAAAGCAGGAAGAGAAGAAAGAGAAAGGTCACATAGGATGGGCAGCCTCTCGCTCCAACCAGACACAGCCCCCACTGTAATCATAGCAGCTCAACTTTTGTTGTTCACTGTAGTGTGGCTCCTCACAAGGTGTGTTTTGTTGTTGTTGTTATTAACCCCTTCCCCAACAATTTTTTTGTTAAAAACGTTTCTTTTTCAGACTAATTTTTTTATTTTGGTCAGTATTTTTATTTTGGTCTATATAGTATTTTTGATGCTGGTTATGAAAACAGTTTGTAACTCGTCTTCCTATAAACCATATTTTTTTACCATATTTTCTTAGTATACTCGTTGACGACTGAAAAAGAACATTTTGTGAAAACGAGTATACACGTTTCTGCCGGGGAAGGGGTTAAAAGAGGATTCTACTCAAGAAACTTGGATGAAGAAAAAATAATTAAATTTATTGGGATGACATTGGTTAATAAATTCATATAGGTTTCAAGTGTGCAGTTCATCTATATATAACAATGTGTATTTACCACCCAAAGTAATTTCAAACTTATTGAAATATGTTTTGTAGCCTAACATAAGGTCAGTTCTAGAGAATGTTCCAGGTGTATTTGAGAGGAATAGACCTATTCTAACCATTGTTGGATGGAATGTTCTATAAATATCTTTTATGTCTAGTTTTTTGTTCAAATTTTCTATTTCCTTATTGATCTTGTTTTATCTATTACTTAAATTGGGATATTAAAGTCTACAACTATTATTGTTGAATTTTATAGCCTTCCCTGTATATTTTTGATAATTTTTTTATATCATTATAAAATACTAGAGGTTCGGTGCATGAAATTCGTGCATGGGTAGGGTCCCTAGGCCTAGCTGGCGATCAGGGCTAATCTGTGGGGCAACCAGCAGGGTGATCAGGGGGCACCCAGCCTGTGGGCTGGGGGCAGCTCCTGCATTGAGCATCAGCACCCTGATAGTCAGTGTGCATCATAGAGACTGGTCGTTCTGCCATTTGGTCTATTTGCATATTAGGCTTTTATTATATAGGATTGTTCTTTATCTCTAGTAACAGTTTTTGTCTTAAAGTCTATTTTGCCTGATATTAGTATAGTCACCCCAGCTCTCTTTTAGTCACTGTTTGCATACTGTTTCTTTTCACATCCTTTTACTTTTGGCCTATATGGGTGATGATATAAAGTATGTATCAGATAGACAACATTCAGTTGAATTAAGGTTCCTTTCAAACCATTTTGCTAATATCTGCCTCTTGAGAAATTGAGAAATTCAAATTTAATGGGATTATAGATAAGGTAGAATTTACATATGCCATTTTCCTATATAATATTTATAGGTATCATGTCTTTTATGTGTCCTTCCTCCTCCATTACTGCCTTTCTAGTGTTAAATAGATATTTCTAATGTATATCTTCATCCCCTTATAATTTTTTTTTACCATGTTTTTTAGTTATTTTCTTAGTGGCTGCCTTAGGGGTTATAATTTTCATGTCAATTTAAAATAGTTTACATTAATCAAATTTTATTTCAATACTATACAAAAATTTTGCTCCTAAATATCTTCACCATGTTCTTTGTGCTGCTATTGTCATACAAAGTAGTTCTGTACAGAACTACACATTATGCATTCATGTTGATGGGTATATAATTATTGCTTTATGCAGTTTTCTTTTCAATCAGATAAGAGGAAAAAAAGAGCTACAAACAAATAGATAAATTATCAAGGGGGGGGTATACATATATATGTAGTTACCTTACCAGTATTTTTATTTATGTGGATTAGAGTTACTTTCTAGAGTGCCTTCATTTCAGCCTAAAAGATCTATGTAGTCTTTCTTGCAGGATAGGTGAAGTAAGTGATGAATTCTGTCAGTTTTTGTTCATCTGAAATGTCTACAGTTCTTATTCTTGGAGGATGGTTTCTCTGGGTATGGAATTCGTGTCTTCTTAGCACTTTGAAGCTGTCATCCCACTGCCTTCTCCACAGTTTCTAGTGACAAATCAGCTGTAATTGTTATTGAAGATCCTTTGTAAATGATCAGTTTCTTCTCTTTTGCTGCTTTTAAGAATCTCTCTTTCTTAGATGTTTGACACTTCAGTTATTGTGTCTGAGCTTATATCTCTGAGTTTATCCTTCTAAGAGTTTATTGAACTTCTTAGCTATATTTTTTTGCAGCATTTCTTCAACTATATCCAATGTCTTGGCTTCCTCAAGGACAGTCTTTGTTGAATACTTTATCTTCAACATAATATACAGGCTATAGTTTTTTGTGTCTCTGTTTGTCTCATGTTTTGTTTTGTCTTTCCTTTCAAGTTGGACATTTAAAATAAATGTGGAAACTCTGGAAATCAGATTCTCTCCCTGCCCAGAGTTTGTTGTTTACTTTTTTAGTAACTTTTCTGAATTGATTCTTTGTTGTGTGGGCACTGCAGCCTCCGCTCACTTTGATTAAATGCTTGGATAGAGATTTCCTTAAGTTCTTGGACCCGATGAGTCTCCCAGCTGTTCCTGAGGAGCTCTGTGTACATGTTGGGGCACACCTTTCATGCTCTTCCAGGCAGGTAACAACCCTCACTTAGCCTCCTGCTTCTGCTACAGGGCCTTCCCAGGAGTTTCTTGAGTGTTTACATAGCCCTGCACATGCGCACAGCTTTCTGGGTTCTGCGGAATACATCAGCATTTTGCAAAGCCCCCTTTGGACTTATTCCCTAGATTTCCTTTTAATTAAGCTTTTTGGTTAGCCTATTATTTGCCCCAACTGTTATCTACTGCCTCAAATACTTGCGCTTCATTTCTATCAAATAAAGATCGCTTTGTTAGTGGGGTCTCTCAGGAAATCACCAAACAGGTCAAACAATGATAAATTCTCTATTAAGGGGGTTTTGAAAAAGCTCCAATCTCATCCTTTTCCCTCCAGCGGCTATCAGTTTTTACCATGATTGCAGGCTGTGGGTTTGAAGGCTGCTGTGGTGCAAATAGGGCAAGGGAAAATGCCATAATGCTCACTCTTCTTACCTACATTCAGCTGTTGTTTTAAAATAAACATTCCTATTGTTTCAATGCTACTTAACTTTTTCAGAACTCTGGAAATGAGATTCTGACCAATTTGCTACTTCTATAGCGGAGGAGATCTTCTGACATCTTTCCTCTGCTATTTTTGCTGCTGTCCTTTGTCTTTCACTTCCCATGTACTTCTTCTCTGGCACCGGTGAAGTTAGGTGCTCACAATGATAATGCAAAATGGACTCTCCTTTACTAAGAGCAGGGACTGTAGGTCACTGTGGGATCCACAGGATGACAAAGTCAGATACAAAATGCAATGAGCCAGCCAAGTCTGTCCTCTGAGGAGCTGGGTGGTGTTCTAGTGTGTCTGAAGCAGGCCTCCGGGGATTTGGGTTCTGCAGCCTGTTAGGAGGGCCTCGGGTTCAGGCCAAGATCAGCCACTATTTGTGCTCGGCTTGGGACCTCCTGGTAGGAGCTACATAGTAATCTGTGGTGGTTTGCTGCTTGAAGATGTTTGGGAGAGGCTGTGTTATGGACCATGCCGAGCTGCCACTAGTGCCAGGCTTGGGACCCCTTGGTGGGCACTATGATATGAGCTGAGTTCAGCCACCACTTGTGCTGCTGGACTCATGGCTGCTTACTTGAAGCTGGGTTCCAAGCCAACACTGGCTACAGCTATGCCAGGCCTAGGGGCTACCTGCTGGAGTGACAATACAAGTTGAGACTGCTCAAGGCAGGCTTGGGACTGCTGAGCCAGAGGAACAGGGCATGCTGAAGCCAGCCCCTTCTTGTTTGGGGTTTGTGGACCTTTGAAAGTCTGCCACATGAGCTGCGGGGGTGCTTGCAAAGAAAAGCCACTTGAAGAGGTTCAGTCAGGCACCAGAGTTGGGTGGAGAGAATGGTGTGACCCAGGTTACTGAATAGCTCAGATTGGATGCCAGCTGAGCGGGAGGAGCGTATAACAAAGGAGCAATGGTGCCTGCCAGCATTTCCATCCCAGGAGAGGGCTACCCCTGCAGTCCTCATCCTGGAGCCAAAGGGGCTGAGTTTTTATACAAGTGATTCTGTGCACAGGCCCCTAAAGAGGAATACATGGGACCCCTGAAGCCTTCATCTCCTTGGCTGCCATCCCCTCTTGTTTTCACAGCCAGGTGGTATGTGGAAACCTTTCCCCAGGACTGGTGCCCTTGCCTAAGGAATCCGGTGTGGGGACCTCTGCTGCCAAGATACCCCTCTGATTCTTAATTGCCACAACATTCTTAATGTTGATGTGTTTGTGGGAGGTGGTGATCACAATGATTACTCACTCCGCCATCTTGAACAGAAGTCCACATTTCTTGAAGACGTTGAAGGAGTCTGTGGGAGAAGCCCAAAGGGCTCAGTTAGATGGTGGCAGGAGCTGAGGTAACCAGAGTCACATGGGCATTAGGGTCTGGAGGAAAATGGGTTCCCGATGACTCCTGGGAGAATAGAATATGCCAGGAGCCGGTCCATCCTTGCTGTTTCAAGGGACCTGGCATATATTGCATACTGTTCTTAATATGTTTGCTCACCTTCTTGGCACTATGTGTTTTAACCAAGGTCACCTCTCCGAGAAAGGTTGTTTCCCCAGGTAGGGATTTTCCCCTGAAGTTAGGGAGGGAATAAAACCTCTTAACTAAGTGC